TTAGTTGTTTTGAGATTTTGGTTGGTTATTGAGAGTGTGTATTAGTGCATGTGTGTTTATTTTATAGATTTTTTTTATATTGAGGTTCTCGTGTGATGAAGCAAGTTGCTTTTTATGATGGTGATAGTATGTTGTTTTCCTAAAAGATGAAAGGGGTAATCAATCAGCCAGCACACCACTGCACAAGTATACATTTTTTTTCATATAATTAAAAAGTATTATAATTTAAAAAAATAATATACACGAAAATATAATTTTTGATAGTATAACCATACAAATATACATTTTCTTCATAGTGTGATTATGTTACACAAAAATTTATGATTACATAAGTTAAGACTGTTCAGTGTGATTATGTTACATGGCTATGAATTATATAACATGACTATTAGAGCTGCAAACGAGTTGAATCGAGTCGAACAAGCTCAAATTACATTGCTAATTTCCTATTTAAACATAAACAGACTGGGTTTTAACAATGTGGATTTGCCTTCGGAAACGGGACTACATGAGGGCCCATTAACATTTTTAAACCAATAGCTATCATTTATATAACTGGGCTTGGGGGGTGGGGAGGCCCGCACAAGCGAGTTCTGCAAAGTAAGCAGCGTCAGCGCAGGGCCAGCCTATTTCCCCTCCACAAATTAATGCACCACTAATCAAATGAATGAATGTGGGTGCTGCGGCCAGTTCTCACCGCCCGCTTTGTTTTCCTTACTCATTAGTTTAAGGCAAGTTTTACAATTTGGTCTTCCCTTGTTATTTATATGTGCCCTCTTTACTTGGTTATTGCTCCATACTCGATGTGGGACATTAAAGTCATCACTAATGAACCCAATCAAACACTAGCAAATCATATTCATATCAATTCGGTAGGGGATCAATTTTCTTTTATTTTGTTTATTTCATTTTATTATGAATTCAAAGGGTAAAGCTTTATTATGAATCTTAAATGTGTAATTTTCTTTTAGTTCTCTCCTTTTCCTTTTCGACATCCTCAAATATCTCTTCAAGTTGAGATGAACTACAACATTCATCTTTAATTTACTTTTGTTGTTCGTTGTGTTCTTTCATGGAAAAAATGATTAAATTAACATTTCCTTATAATTTCATATTTCCATTTAAAACACAGCTTCATGTTAGACCTCTCTAACAATCGCTATAAAAAGCTCAATGAGTGAATTTTAAACACTACGAACAAGCATTTTAAACAAGATGACATTTCAAGTTCTCTTGTGCATTTTGTCATTCCTTTGCTTTCACTTTCACCTTCACCATGCACATATATGTGCATCCATAAAAAATACTTCACCAACACTCAAGCCTTTAAACAAAGTGACACAATTTCAAAAACGACACGAACTCATTACATACCCTAATGATAAAAAAGGAGAGCACGAAAATATTTTCGACGATTCATTAGAATCTTCCCCAAACGAATGCCAAAAAGTTCACGGTGTCGGTATCAGTGTCACTGGAATCTCAGACAGCGACCCAATCACAAAAATACTCGAGTCACAATGTGGCACGCTCGATTTATCGGATCCCAATAACAATATCCCGTTTCATATGATATCTCGTTATTCATTTCACCAAGGTAATCCCAAGTGGCGCAGGGAAACCCTAAGCTACGCGTTCGACTGGAATGTCCCAAACGCGGCGAAACCACCGCTAGAGAGTGCACTGAAAGAGTGGCAATCGTCAACACATTTTAAATTTTATCCTGCGAAAAAATTCAGTCGAGCGGATATTAAACTTAGCTTTATGAGTGGGGACCACGGGGATGGGCATCCATTCCCCGGCAGAGGCCCCACAGTTTCCCTCCACCGAACGGGAGGGTCCACTTCGACTTGCACCGGAATTGGTCTTGGGCCGGTAAAAGAGATGCTTACGATGTGAAGACCGTTGGGCTTCACGAGCTGGGCCACGTACTTGGGCTTGGCCATAGCACCATCTTTAAGGCTATCATGTACCCCGTAATTAATCCAAGGGAGAAGAAAGGATTACATGTTGATGATATTAATGGAATCAAGGCTTTGTATAAGCAGAGGAGGGGATTATAATGTATACATTATATTTGTTGTGATTGAGTGTAGAATCAGTTATTGCAATAACTTTTATTAATAAATAAAATAGATATGAATTAAAGAAAAAAAAATAAAAAAATGTTATGTTATGCCAATCCATATGTTATAAGTTAAAATAAACAACTTGCTTACATATAATTTTGGGGAAATTAGGGATGGCAGCGGTTCGGTTTCGGTTCGGATATCCGTGGTTTTTGGTTCTG